CATGGTGTATATGTACCACATTTTCTTTAGTCTACCATTGATGGGCATTTAGGTTGAATTTCATGTCTTTGCTATTGTGAATAGTGCTGCAGTGAACACGTGCTTGTGTCTTTATGGTAGAATGATTTATATTCCTTTGGGTGTATACCCAGTGATGGGATTGCTGGATCTAATGGTAATTCTGTTTTAAATTCTTTGAGGAATTGCCACACTGCTTTTCACAATGGGTGAACTAATTTATACTCCCACCAGCAGTATAATTGTTCCCTTTTCTTCACAATCTTGCCAGCATCTGTTATTTTTTGACTTCTTAGTAATATTCATTCTGACTGGTGTGAGATGGTATCTCATTTTAGTTTTGATTTGCATTTCTCTAATGATTAGTGATGTTGAACAATTTTTCATACGCTTGTTGACTGCAAATGTGTCAAAAATAGCGTTTTAATTTATTGGGTTGCTATTCACATTGAATTAAAAATATCTGTAATTTGCCTCATAGATTCTGATATATAGTAAGTTTTCCACAGGTGTTAATTCTGTTTTTGTTGTTGTTTGAAAGCTCTCCACCTAGGAAGAGACTTGCCCCCCGACTTGCAAAGGCAGATTTGATGGAACATGGTATCTTTATCCTGTGTCTAGAAATTGCTATTTTAGCTGAATTTCAGAGTAGAATATAAATAAGAGTCTGTTGGTTTTTCTAGGCCATTGTGATTCTGTATTTTCTTCTCACCTTGTGTTAATTGAGGTCAGAATGAGTCTCAGCCACATTGTAAGAGCCCTGGTGGTCCGATACTGACTTTTTGTACGTCACACCCTTGCTGTGGGGAAGACTAGTGAAAGAATTCTGAGTTGTCCTGTCCCTTTGGGTGAACTAAATTTGTCCTTATGGATAAAGATTATAATCATTTAATATTAAAACATTCTGAAAAATGTCCTAGAACTTGTGCTTTTTTCAATGCGCAGTGTGAAGATCTGAAATCATAAGTAATCTTTTATTATGCTTTTTGGGTAAAAAGTTGGCAATAATGTTACTCTGCTAAATGCAAAATTTTATAGAGTATCTAGTTACGAATACTTTTTTTTTTTTTTTGAGACGAGTCTCACTCTGTCACCCCGGCTGGAATGCAATGGCATGATCTCGGCTCACTACAACCTCTGCCTCTCAGGTTCAAGTGATTCTCCTGCCTCAGCCTCCTGAGTAGCTGGGATTACAAGTGCACGCCACGACGCCCGGCTCATTTTTGTATTTTTAGTAGAGATGGCATTTCACCATGTTGGTCAGATTGGTCTCAAACTCCTGACCTCATGATCTGCCTTCCTTAGCCTCCCAAAATGAATACATTTTTAAAAATTTGGTATTTCATGAATTCTTTTCAGTATTATTACTTTTATGACCCCCCTATTCCTAGACAGTTGCTGCAAACTGCAAATTTTCTATTTAGATTCTTTCACTACTTTCAGTTACATAGAAGTCGTGTTTATGTTTTTTGATAGATTGTTAAAATTAGCAGGTGAACAATATTAACATTGTTAATGGAAAACAAATTTAGAAAATTTGCTTCCTTTTGTTGTTCAACAGGTTGGCTTAATTTTATGACAAGAAATACTTATATTTTAATAGGTGCATTTTGTAAAGGAGCTACTTGGTTTCAGATTTTTCTTTTATTATGTTTGGTATTTCAGTGAAGTAGAGAGAACAAGATGATTTGTAAATTCAGTCTCACAGTTAAATTGTACTGACCTTAACTTTTAATTTGTACTTTTTTTCCTCTTCAAAGTTTATATAAATTATGGAAACTCTTAAAGTAAATCTCAACTGGGTTTTAGAAATTGAAGGCAGAGGATTTGTTCTTTCCAGCTGACTAGTCCAGTGCAGGTGGTTTCTAGTTGTATTCAGGCACAAAGAAATGCACATACTGCCTTTTGATGTTCTGTAACATCCTTTGTCATGTTTCCTTCCTTTCTTGTTGTGTGTGTTTATTCTCTTGTGATTAGTAACGTTATACTATATGGATTGGAGTAGAGACCTCCCCCATGACTCAGGGACCACACAGATAAAAGGGAGGGAAGACATTAAAAAAAACAAAACCAAGGACCAAGCATTTGAAGATACTACATTTGAATATGAGTGGTAGGGAGTTGTATTTAATAGATAGGAGATTGGTAGGCAGGGGTCAAGTAATTCATCCAACAGATATTGAGTATGTATATATTGTCAGTCTATAGTAGGCTTTGGTGGTATAAGAGAAGAGCAAGACAGAGATAGTACATGTCCTAGAGCTTATACTGTAGTTGGGAATGTAGCATTAAAGAAATGCTTTCAAGTTAACAGAGTGCTGTGGGAATGCATGGTAGGGGCAGGGGATGATCGTAGGGAGCATTTCTGCATGTGGCAGAGGTGACAGAGGGCAGTTTTCGCAGCAGAAAGTCTTAAACATATTTAGAGGGCCTAGAGGTGAGTGGCCTTCCAAGAACTAAAGAAAGAAGGGCAGTGTGGCCAGAATGAGGGTTAGGGGGAGGGAATCAAAGTGGGGAGATGTTGGAAGGCAGCAAGCAGATTTTGGAGTGCATTTTAAGGCAGGTTGAGACAGTTTTTTTTTTTTTTTTTTTTTTTTTTTGAGACAGAATCTAGCTCTGTTGCCCAGGCTAGAGTGCAATGGAGTGATCACAACTCACTGTAGCCTCAATGTCCCAGACTCAGATGATTTTCCTGCTTCAGCATCCTGAGTAGGTGGGACCACAGGCATGTGCCACTTATACTTGGCTTTTTTTTTTTTTTTTTTTTCCAGTAGAGATGGAGTCTCCCCATGTTGCCCTGACTGGTCTTGAATTCCTGGGGCTCAAGTGATCCTTCCACCTTGGGCTCCTAAAGTGCCAGGATTACAGGCATGAGCCACTGTGCCTGGCCTAATTTTTCTTTTCTTTTCTTTCTTTCTTTCTTTTTTTTTTTTTAATGTTAATGCTTCCCAGGCTGATCTTGAACTTCTGAGCTCAAGTGATCCTCCTGCCTGGGCCTCCCAAAGTGCGGGAATTACAGGCATGAGCGACTATGGCCAGCCAAGTTGAGTATCTTGGACTTTATCTCCAAAGCAATGAGAAACCCTGGGAGAAGGGGAAGCAAGATGGTTAAGAAGAGAGAGCGGTTATCCGATTTGCATTGTTTAAAAGCAAAGATCTATTAAGTGGATTAAAGGAGATTAGTTTGGAAGCTACTGGCAGTTTGAACTAGAATGGTGCCAATAAGGTTAGGGGAAAAGGGCTGATTTGAAATACACTTAGGAGGTGGGGGGCAGTGGCTCACGCCTGTAATCCCAGCACTTTGGGAGGCTGAGCGGGGTGGATCACCTGAGCTCAGGAGTTTGAGACCACCCAGGCAACATGGTGAAAACCCATCTCTACTAAAAATACAAAAAAATTAACCGGGTATGGTGGCGCATGCCTCTAGTCCCAGCTACTTGGAAGGCTGAGGCAGGAGAATCGCTTGAGCTCCAGAGGCGAAGGTTACAGCGAGCCGAGATTGTGCCACTGCACTCCAGCCTGGGCTACAGAGTGAGACTCTGTCTCAAAAAAATAAATAAATAAATAAATAAAAGAAATAAAAGAAATATACTTGGGAGATGAAATGGATAAGATAGAGATTAGATGTGGAGGAATAAGGGAGAGGAATGAGTCGGGATAATAGTATTAAATATGTGTTAGACACTATCACTTTACAGGTATTAAATCATTTAATTCTCAGAACAACCCCATGAGGTAGGTGTTGCTATCACCATTGTGTAGCTGAGGAAACAGACATCCCTGATTTTTTTCTTTTTTTTTTGAGAAAGGGTGTCACTCTTTCACCCTGGCTGGAGTGCAGTGGTACGATCACAGCTCACTGCAGCCTCTACCTCTGGGCTCAGGTGATCCTCTCACTTCTGCCTTCTGAGTAGCTAGGACTACAGGCATGTGCCACCATGCCTGGCTAATTTTTTTTGTTTGTTTTTTGTTGTTGTTGTGTGTGTGTGTGTTTGTTTTAGAGGTGGTTTCACCATGCTGCCCAGGCTGGAGCTCCCTGATTTCTGGCATCTCATAATTAAGATAGAAAACTGAAGGTGGGGTGGAGGCTCATAAGTTTAATTCTGAATGTATTGAATATGAGGTATTTATAAAATATCCAAGTTGCAGTGTTAAGTAGTCATTTGGATATCGGGTTTGGAGTTCAAAGTGAGAGAATTCTGGGTTAGAGATAGAGATTTTAGTCTTTTGCAGATGACTAATTCTGAGGAGTAATTATTAAAAAGGGGGAAAGTGTAGAGCAAGGAAAGAGGGATTACTATAGAGCCCCAAGGCATATGAAATCAGATGGTTGAAAATGGAGAAGATAAATATGAAATGGCTTGTATGCTATGTCAGATGTTTGGACTTTATTCTGAAAAGATAGCTTTCAGTTTAATCTTTGGGCATATTGAGCTGGAAGTGTCTGTGGGATATTCAGGGACAGAAAGCTGGACTGTTCTTTATCCTTTCCTCATAATTTTCTGCTAATTTTCCTTGGTTCTTCAGAATATACTCCCTAGCTTTCTCATCATCCTGGTTACTTTTTTTTTTTTTTTTTAATTTTAGTATTTTTATACTAGAGACAGGGTCTCACTATGTTGCCTAGGCTGGTCTTGAACTCCTCAGCTCAGGAGATCCTCCTGCCTTGGCTTCCCAAAGTGCTAGAATTAAAGGCTTGAGCCACTGTGCCTGGCCCATGCTGGTTACTTTTTTCTCTTAAAATGTGGTAGACAGTTGAATGCATTTTATGTATGACTTGAGCAGAGTGGATAATCTTCACTTTGTCCAGCAGGTTCTGTACACTGTTTCTATGAATATAGGCCAAGATTGAATTAGTTTTTGAGGAGAACATTATTACATCATGTTTCTTTTATCAAGTAAAAGTGTGTGTGTATACGTTTTAAACCTAAGCCTTGTATCTCTTATCCTTGTGGTTTAATTCCTCCTTTCTCTCAATGTAGGTATGGCATCACAGCTGCAAGTGTTTTCGCCCCCATCAGTGTCGTCGAGTGCCTTCTGCAGTGCGAAGAAACTGAAAATAGAGCCCTCTGGCTGGGATGTTTCAGGACAGAGTAGCAACGACAAATATTATACCCACAGCAAAACCCTCCCAGCCACACAAGGGCAAGCCAACTCCTCTCACCAGGTAGCAAATTTCAGCATCCCTGCTTACGACCAGGGCCTCCTCCTCCCAGCTCCTGCAGTGGAGCATATTGTTGTAACAGCCGCTGATAGCTCGGGCAGTGCTGCTACATCAACCTTCCAAAGCAGCCAGTCCCTGACTCACAGAAGCAACGTTTCTTTGCTTGAGCCCTATCAAAAATGTGGATTGAAACGAAAAAGTGAGGAAGTTGACAGCAACGGTAGTGTGCAGATCATAGAAGAACATCCCCCTCTCATGCTGCAAAACAGGACTGTGGTGGGTGCTGCTGCCACAACCACCACTGTGACCACAAAGAGTAGCAGTTCCAGTGGAGAAGGGGATTACCAGCTGGTCCAGCATGAGATCCTTTGCTCTATGACCAATAGCTATGAAGTCTTGGAGTTCCTAGGCCGGGGGACATTTGGACAGGTGGCTAAGTGCTGGAAGAGGAGCACCAAGGAAATTGTGGCTATTAAAATCTTGAAGAACCACCCCTCCTATGCCAGACAGGGGCAGATTGAAGTGAGCATCCTTTCCCGCCTAAGCAGTGAAAATGCTGATGAATATAATTTTGTCCGTTCATACGAGTGCTTTCAGCATAAGAATCACACCTGCCTTGTTTTTGAGATGTTGGAGCAGAACTTATATGATTTTCTAAAGCAAAACAAATTTAGCCCACTGCCACTCAAGTACATCAGACCAATCTTGCAGCAGGTGGCCACAGCCTTGATGAAGCTCAAGAGTCTTGGTCTGATCCACGCCGACCTTAAGCCTGAAAACATCATGCTGGTTGATCCAGTTCGCCAGCCCTACCGAGTGAAGGTCATTGACTTTGGTTCTGCTAGTCATGTTTCCAAAGCTGTGTGCTCAACCTACTTACAGTCACGTTACTACAGGCAAGTGGCAAATGCTGAAAATTGTATCTTAGGCTAGAGTTCTGTCCTTATATTTAACATATACCCCATAGCCTACATATAGCAGTGAATTTGTTTATAGATTCTGAGATAGAAATAGGATATGTTTTAGCTCATTCTCTGTGTGTGGCATTCCTATATATGACATTTTCTTATTTCTGAAATTTTATCTAGCACTGAAAAAATTAACTCAGTCTGATTCTGAAAGTTGTTACTAGTTGAATTATACTAGCACCTGGTTCTTTTCTTTATTATCATTATACCTCATTTTCCCATTTTATTTATTTAATTAATTTATTTATTTTGAGACGGAGTCACGCTCTGTTGCCCAGGCTGGAGTGCAGTGGCACAATCTCGGCTCACTGCAAGCTCCACCTCCCGGGTTCACGCCATTCTCCTGCCTCAGCTTCCTTGAATAGCTGGGAACACAGGCACCCACCACCATGCCCGGCTAATTTTTTTGTATTTTTAGTAGAGACGGGGTTTCACCATGTTACCCAGGATGGTCTCGATCTCCTGACCTTGTGATCTACCTGCCTCCGCCTCCCAAAGATCTGGGATTACAGGCGTGAACCACCACACCCGGCCTATTTATTTATTTTTTTGAGATGGGAGTTTCACTCGCCCAGGCTCGAGTGCAGTGGTGTGATAACGGCTCACTCAGCCTCCACCTGGGTTCAAGTGATTTCTCCTGCTACTCCTGTCCCGAGTAGCTGGGACTACAGGTGCCTGCTACCATGCCTGGCTAATTTTTTTTATATTTAATAGAGATGAGGTTTCACCATGTTGACCAGGCTGGTTTCAAACTCCTGACCTCAGGTAATCTGCCTGCCTTGGCCTCCCAGTGATTACAGGCAGGAGCTACCATGCCCAGCCATTTTCCCGTTTTAAAGAGTCTTGAAATATACAAAGATATTTTTTTATTTGTAATGAATCTGAGCATATGCTGCTGTTTTTTTGAAGCTCTTACCTTGGCAGGTAAAATAACTTGGGAATAACTCCAGCTTTAACTCTAGTAACATTTTATTCTTTTACATTTTCTTCTGTAGTAGCATGAATTGGATTAGATGATTGCTACAGTCTCTTCCTGTCTTAACATTCTCTAAATACTTTGAACTTACTGGGTTATCCTAGAATGGCCTTGACCCAAGTACCTTACACTTTAATGATATATATTTCTAGATTGATACTTTTAATGTAGTTACTGTTTTAACATATAATAATTATTGAGACAGTATGTAAATGCTGATATATATACTTTTGTCTATATCATAACCAAGGCTTTTAAAATGTGCTTTTTGTCAGCACCCATTTACTTACTTGCCTAGTTATTAATTTTAAGGAATCTAATACTTAGTTTTAATGGCCATACATTAAATACAAATCATGTAAGCATCCAATCAAGAAGTGAAATAATAAACAAAAACATAGATAACCTATAAAATATGTTTATAAGGAGCTATACATGCCAGATACCTGTAATAAAATTTGAGGAAATAGAAATTCTGAATTAATAATTTTATATTATGTGTGAAAATAATATGAAGATATTTTAACCCATGCAAGGACTCAGAAAAAATGTCATCTACATGTTTACTTTTTTAAAAACATTGTGGTAAGATCTTTGTAACAGGAAGTTTACAATTTTAACCATTTGGTACCACTCAGTATGTTAAGGATATTCACAGTGTTGTGTAACCATCACCGCTGTCTGTTCAGTATATTCACAGTGTTGTGTAACCATCACCACTATTTCCATATGTTTTCATCACCCAAAACACAAATTCTAACCATTAAGCAATAACTCCCTATTCTCCCTTCTTCCTACCACTGGTAATCTTGATTTGACTTTCTGTCTCTATGAATTTGCCTATTCTAGATACTCCTTGTAAGTGGAATAATACAACATATGTCTTTTTGTGTCTAGTTTATTTCACTTAGCATAATGTTTTTGAGGCTGATCCATGCTGTAACGTGTATCAGAACTTCATTCCTTTTATGGCTGTATAATATTCCATTGTTTGTATATACCACATTTTGTTTATCCATTCATCTGTTGGTAGATATTTGGGTTGTTGCTACCTTTAGGCTGTTGTGAATAATGCCACTATGAACATTGGTGTACAAGTATCCTAGTCCCTATTTTCAGTTCTTTTGGGTATTTAACTAGGAGTGGAATTGCTGGGTCACATGATAATTCTATGTTTAACTTTTTGCAGAATTACCAAACTATTTTCCACAGAGGCTGCACCGTTTTACATTCCCACCAGCAGTGGATGAACATTCCAGATTTCTCCACATTTTCTCTAACATTTGTTATTTTTTTTTTATTAAAAAAAATTGTTTGTTTATTTTTACAGAGACAGGGGCTCACTCTATTGCTCATGCTGGAGTGCAGTGGCGCGATCATAGTTCATTGTAGCCTCCAACTCCTGGGCTTGAGCAAGTAGGTAGGACTACAGTCACACTCCACCATACCTGGCTAATTACTTTTATTTTACTTTTTGTGGAGATGGGGTTTTGAGGGTCTCATTTTGTTGCCCAACCCGGTCTCAAACTACTGGCCTCAAGCCATCCTCCTGCCTCAGTCTCCCAAAGTTCTGGGATTACAGGCATGAACTACCACTCCTGGCCTTGTTTTGGTTTTTAAATAATAGCCATGCTTTTTTTTTTTTTTTTTTTTGAGCTGGAGTTTCACTCTTGTTACCTAGGCTGGAGTGCAGTGGTGTGATCGCGGCTCACTGTAGCCTCTGCCTCCCGAGATTCTCCTGCCTCAGCCTTCCGGGTAGCTGGGACCACGCGGGCATCTGCCACCACACCCAGCTAATTTTTGTATTTTTAGTGGAGATGGGGTTTTACCATGTTGGCCAGGCCGGTCTCGAACTCCTGACCTCAGGTGATCTGCCCTTGGCCTCCCAAAGTGCTGGGATTATAGGCGTGAGCCACTGCGCCTGGCCAATAATAGCCTTTTTTTTTTTTTTTTTTGAGACGGAGTCTTGCTCTGTTGCCAGGCTGGAGTGCAGTGGCACGATATGGGCTCACTGCAACCTCCACCTCCCAGGTTCAAGCAGTCCTGCCTCAGCCTCCTGAGTAGCTGGGACTATAGGTGCCACCATGCCCAGCTAATTTTTGTATTTTTAGTAGAGACAGGATTTCACCATGTTGGCCGGGATGGTCTTGATCTCTTGCCCTTGTGATGCACCGGCCTCAGCCTCCCGAAGTGCTGGGATTACAGGCATGAGCCACTGGGCCCAGCCAATAATAGCCATTCTTATGGGTGTGAAGTGGTATCTCACTGTGGTTTTGATTTGTATTTCCCTAATGGTTAATGATGTTGAACATTTGTTTTATTTTGTTTTGTTTTGAGACAGAGTCCCACTTTGTCATCCAGGCTGGGGTGCAGTGGTGCAATCATGGCTTACTGCAGCCTTGACATCTCAGGCTCAAGCAGTCTTCCTACCTTAGCCTTTCGGTAGCTGGGACTATGGGCATGCACCCCCACACCTGACTAGTTTTTTGTAGTTTTAGTAGAGACGGGGTTTCACCGTGTTGCCCGGGCTGGTCTCAAACTCATAGGCTCAAGTGATATGCCCGCCTCAGTAACCCAAAGTGCTGGGATTACAGACGTGAGCCACCATGCCCAGCCCGGCATTTTTTTATGTGTCTGACATTTGTATATCTTCTTTGGAGAAATGTCTATTTAAGTCCTTTCCTCGTTTATTGAATTGGGCTTTTTGTTGTTGAGTTGTATAGTCTATATACTAAATTTTCATCTATTCCTTGGGTTGCCTTTTTACCTGTTGATAGTGTTTGACACGGAAAAGTTTTTAACTTTGGTGAAGTGCAGTTTGTCTACTTTTTCTTTTGTTGCTTGTGCTTTTGGTGACTTACCCAAGAAGTCATTGTTAAATCAAAATCATACAGATTTTCCACTGTTTCCTGCTAAGAGTTTTATAGTTTTAGCTCTTTTATTTCAGTTTTTGATTCTTTGTTGATTTTTGTCTATGGTCCAAGTTACAAATCCAGTGTAATTCTTTGGCATGTGACTGTTCAGTTCTTCAAACACCATTTGCTGAATAGACTGTCCTTTCTGCATTGGGTGGTTTTGGCACACTTGTTGGAATCATTTGAACATATATACAAATAATTCTTATCTTCTATTGCTTTCCCATTTTCAGTTTTGGGCTGTCTATTCCATTAATCTATGTATGTCTGTATGCCAGTACCACACTGTTTTGATTATTGTAGCTTAGTAGTAAGTTTGAAATCAGGAAGTGTGAGACCTCCAACTTTATTCTTTTTCAAGATTATTCTGGCTATTTGGGGTCTTTGAGAGTCCATATAAATTTTAGGATGGGTTTTTCTATTTTATACAAAAATCATAATTGCTTTTTATTAAGGATAGCATTGAATCTGTAGATTGCTTTGGGTAGTGTTGACAGCTTAATATTAAGTCAGTCCATCCTTATTTCTTTATATCTTTTTACGATTTTATAAAACTGGTGATTTTTACTTGAGGTGAGGTAAAGAAACTCTTAGAGCCTTCGTTTTCTGGTTTTATGCTGCCCTAGGCAACCTTGGCTAACTTTAAGAATCTCATCTCCATTTATTTATTTATGCCTTGGGAGATTTAAGTTCCAACTACATATGCTTTTTAATACTCTCCTTTGAGCAGTCTCACCACCAGCCACACCCACATACATATATATAGCATACTCTACTGGTGAACTGAAGAGTTCAGCACAGCATCCCATTTTTAGTCCTCAGGAGGGACTAGGCAGACCACAGCTGAAGGAAGAAGGCTGATCAGCTTTTCCTTTCTGTCTTCACTGTGTGTACAGGTGTTCTTTAAGTACTTGTTTGCCCTGTCAAAGACAAAGTGCATTCTCTTGTGATAACAGAGTAGTTTTTAAATTGAAAAAGAGAGAGCAATAGGAGATAAATATTTTTTGACTTTGTTATAATTGGGGCATGTTAATACAAAATAAAACGAATTATTTGACTGCTTAGCTTTCTGTAATATGTAATTCTTTTGAATAATTTTCAATGTTAGGTTGCTGATCTTTGTATTTGTTTATCCTTTTAATTTAAGCTGTCAATTGATTCATTTTGTTTTTTTTTTTTATAGAAACTACAATTTTCAAATCTTCAAAGTTACCTTCGACAAAGCTTTCTTTAAATTCACTGCATTATAGTTGTTGAGTGTAATTTTAAGTGGAGCTAAGTTTGCCTCTTAAAAACAGGAGTTCATTCTGTGTGTTACTGAGTAATTACTCTGTATACTGAAGTTCAGTACCCAGGGCTTGACTGTGTTTAGGATTTAACATGAGTGTTCTGTTGTGTCACAGTAATACTTGATAATGAGCCTAAGGCAGATGGAATAGCAGCTCAGGCATTCCTTCTTTATCACTAGTTTTATCCGCAATGGTCCTCTTAAGCTTCTTTCATGTTGCTTTGTTGCTGTATTAGAGACCATTAAGTCCTCACCCTTCTGTCTTTCAAAAAACCTCTGTGAAATCCTTTTGGCTGGTGAAGCATTCTGACTCCAAAGCTAGTCCTCCTCTTACCCTCCTTTTTAGTTTACATTGCATTGTCTTTCTGATAACTTGCGAAAGTATTATCAGCTCACATAAATTTGCCACCTCGCTGTGTCCATTGGTCCTGGGCATGGCTAAATGATTCAGGCAGTGGAAATAATATACTTTATTCTCTGGCTCACTGTAAATGTGCACAGACTCCAAGCAAAGCTCCTGTCTTTGGGGCTTGAGTTTTAGAGACAAAGGTTTGCCATGCTTACAAGCTGAATGTTTTTCCCTACTGAACTAGCCAGCCTTTATTTCAAGCTGAATCACTTTGTTACTTATGGAAGGAAAAGGTCTAGAGAAGGAGAATGTATCTTCCATTTATCCTAGACAAACAAATAATCTAATTTCCTCTGACAGTCAAACTATAGTTTCACCTAAGCCACTGATGCAGGAAGTTAGGTTTTAAGTAACCTCTGTAATCTGGTAAGTAAGTAGGTTTGATGTCTCTGAGATAGGAAGAAAGAAATGAGAATGTTCATGGAAATAATCAATGATTTGTGTTAAGTGATTCTAACCTTAGCTTGCTCTGGGTGCCAGTGAAATTAACCTCAACAATGTTGGTTGGAAGAATTTTTCAACTTAAAGAAGTTTGAAGCTGGGGAACCAAAAGGCAGGGATTGTTGTTTCTATCACTTAACTGTAATAACTGAAGCCTGTTTAGTATCTGTTTTTTAAGCATGGGATGTGTCTTCAGAGAGGAGACTTGCCGTCTTCAAAGCACAATCAATGCCATTTTCCTACTGAAGTGAACACGGCCAGTTTTAAACAGTTTCTTTCACTTTCCTGTGCTTCTGTAGATAACCTTTTTTACTGCCCAGTTGTTAGAATGTTAAAGCTGGAAAGGGACCTGGAAGAGTAATTATCTAACTCCGCTTCCTTATTATACAAATGAGGTAGAACCAGAATTTTACTTGTCTATAGAGTTTATACTGAGGGATTAAGAAATAATGAGGCCAACAGGAAAGATGTAATGAAAATAATTCTAATAATTATAATCTGGATGCACAGTTTAAAGTATTCAGTTCTTAGAGATGAACCTGCTCTAGTGATGCCTTACTGTTCAGTAAAGTAGAAAATAACTTGTCTTTTTGCTTCGTAGAGTTTGGGTAAGTCTAACATTTATAGGCCCAAATAATACAAAGCCCTCAATGAACTAAGCAGCCTTAACTGGTTTTTTGTTTATTTTTGAGACAGGGTCTCAGGCTGGAGTGCAGTGGTGCAATCATGGCTCACTGCAGCCGTGACCTCCTGGGCTCAAGTGATCCTCCCACCTCAGCTTCCCGAGTAGCTAGAACTACAGGCACGCACCACCATAGCTGGCTAATTTAAAAAATTTTTTTGGTAGAGATTGGGTCTTGCTGTGTTGCCCAGGCTGGTCTCAAACTCCTGCTTAAGTGTTCCTCCTGCCTTGGCTTCCCAAAGTGCTGGGATTATAGGTGTGAACTGCCGTTTCTGGCTGTATATATATATAAACTGCTTTCCTTTTTTGTTTTTCCTTTTGCTATTTGCCTTTTTATAAGGTGGATATGGTAGAGTTGCTGTTTTGACTGAGCTTTTGCTGGAAATCCTTAACTGCTTTTGTCACTCCAAAAGCAGGGTGAGACCAAATGAAAAAAGTTTCAGCCAATCTTCAGTTTGTTTTTAAAAAACGGGACTTGGGGGCTGTGGGAAGTGATATTTTCCTTAATTTCCCAGAAAACTTTAAGCTCTAGACAGTTATATTATTGCTACCTACCTCCTCCCCCGACGCAGTTTCTCTCTTACTCCCAGTCTGGAGTGAATTTATGTAATCTCGACTCACTGCAACCTCCGCCCCCTCAGGTTCAAGCAATTCTCCTGCCTCAGCCTCCGGAGTAGCTGGGATTACAGGCACCTGCCACCACACCCAGCTAATTTTTGTATTTTTAGTAGAGACTGGGTTTCACCATGTTGGCCAGGCTGGATTTGAACTCCTGACCTCAGTCTATCCACCCACCTGGGCCTCCCATAGTGCTAGGATTACAGGCGTGAGCCACTGCACCTGGCCTATTATTGCTGCCTTTTAAAAAATGAAGTTATAGAGTGGCCTGGCCATTCTTTGTGACCTACCTTTTGGACTTTAAAATGTCTTTCTAGTATGGTAAGAATAGCAAAATCAATATGCTGCCCTCCAATTGATGCTTTGGAATGTTCTAAACCCAGTTTTTATTTTGGCACATAGCCAGTTGTGCTCCCCCTGCCAGCTATTTTTGGCACTGTCATGAACTTGGAAATTAATGATTCTGCTCACTAGGAGTAGAAAATTTTGTTCCTTTTCAATTTTAGAAAAGCTTTTATGTTGTTTCTGGGTAGTCTTACTCACTAGCTTATTAATGCGCTTGTCAAACTTGTGCAGTGTTAAAAACATGCCATTATGGTTGAGATTTCATTGAACTCTGAAATTCCATCAGTAATATGTGCTTCTAGCCACCTGTAACAGGAATATCACTTTTGAGGGTTACTTCTTTTCTTTTTTCTTTTTTTTTTCTGAGACAGAGTCTTACTCTGTCACCCAGGCTGGAATGCAGTGGCAGGCACCATGTCGGCTTACTGTAACCTCCGTCCTGGGTTCAAGCAATTCTCCTGCCTCAGCCTCCTGAGTAACTGGGATTACAGGCAGCCATCACCACGCCTGGCTAATTTTTTATATTTTTAGTAGAGATGGGGTTTCACCATGTTGGCCAGGCTGGTCTCAAACTCCTGACCTTAGGTGATCCACCCGCCTTGGCCTCCCAAAGTGCTGGGATTACAGGCGCCCACCACTATGCCTGGCTAATTTTTTTATTTTTAGTAGATTCGGGGTTTTGCCGTATTGGCCAAGCTGGTCTCGAACTCCTGACCTCAGGTGATCCGCCCGCTTCGGCTTCCCAAAGTGCTGGGATTACAGGCATGAGCCACTGTGCCCAGCTGACCAGGTCTTTTAATTGATTGTGTGTGTGTGTGTGTGTGTGATTGAAAAGTTTCTAGGAATAATAATAAAAAAGATCTATTATCCCTTATCTGTGATTGCAAAATTCAGAAAGCTCTCATAAATGAAAATTGTTCTTTAAGTTTGGTACAAATTCATTTAATTGGCAAGGCCTGACTTGAACCATTGTAAAGCTATTTGAAGTCTTTATTTAACCAATTTAGTATGACTGTTCCATGTTTTGTTGCAGAAATATTAATGTGTTTGATTATAGGGCACTGCACTGAACTCCACTGGGATTATTATATAATATGTACTTTGTGTTCTGCATTACCTTTCTGAAATTCAAAATATTCTGTATTCCAAAACACATCTGGCCCTGAGTTTCAGATGATAGATTGTATACCAAAGATTTTTTTCCATTTCATTGAATAAATGTTCCTTTAGCTAATATTAAAACAGGACTTAGTCATGTAGTTAATTTTCCCAAATAATGTTTATTTTTTTATCTGATATTTTTTGTTTTTGCTAGAGCTCCTGAAATTATTCTTGGGTTACCATTTTGTGAAGCTATTGATATGTGGTCACTGGGCTGTGTGATAGCTGAGCTGTTCCTGGGATGGCCTCTTTATCCTGGTGCTTCAGAATATGATCAGGTAAAAGTGTTTATTTGGATGGAAATAGAATGCAAGTAGTTACTTGTGAAATAGATTCTAGAGAAAGAGAAGTACTAAGTACTACTGAAGTATTTAGATAATAGGGAAAGAGTAGTCCAATTACTACTAAAGAACTTTTTAAAGAATAGTAGAATTTTCTCTTCCTGCCTTTTAGGCTAAAGTATGTTTGCAATTCTATAATAAAAAAAAGAATTTTATTTTATATTACTTAAGGTTGATACTTTGCTAGATCTGTAATGATTTATTAGAGACTTAACTTTCATTAACTAATGTGCTTTGTGAGTTAGGAAAGTAGAGTAAGGATGAGGAACTGGAATTTTAAGAGAACTTCTACTTACTTAGAGCTATTATAATTTTCCTTTACACATGATACAGTGAAGTACTTTCTTCAGACTGAAACACTTCAGGTCCCAGAAGCTGTGACATACTGGGTCTCTAAGATAGGATTTAGAAAGGAAGTCATCTGAGTTGTAGTAATAGATGATCTGTATCTCAAAATAGACAAACTTTAGGAGATACACTATAATTTCCTAAGGAATTTGTCCATTAAGGGAAAATGTTTTACCGTGGAAGTAAATTGTGAATTCTCATTTCTTGTTATTTTTTTTCTTTTTTCTTTTTGTTTTTTTTGAGATGGAGTCTTGTTCTGTCACCCAGGCTGGAGTGCAATGGTGCGATCTCGGCTCACTGCAACCTCTGCCTCCCTGGTTCAAGCAATTCTCCTGCCTCAGCCTCCCGAGTAGCTGGGATTACAGGTGCCCGCCATCACGACCAGCTAATTTTTGTATTTTTTAGTAGAGACGGGGTTTCACCATGTTGGCCAGGCTGGTCTTGAACTCCTGACTTCAGGTGATCTGCCCGCCTCAGCCTCCCAAAGTGTTGGGATTACAGGTGTGACCACTGTGCCCAGCCTTCTTCTTATTTTTAAAAAATGTTTCTACCCTTTATGATGTGAGCTCCTTGAGGGTAGAGATTGTTTCATATCACTGGTATATCCTCAGCTCCTAACACTGTGTCTGGTACACAGTCAGTACACAAGTTTTTTTTTGTTTGTTTTTAAGTTTTTATTTTTTTAGAGACAGTCTTGCTCAGTCACCCAGGCTGGCGTATAGGCGTGGTCATAGCTTACTGTAGCCTCTGGCTCCTGGGCTTAAACGATCCTCTCACCTCAGCCTCCCAGATAGATGGGACTACAGGTGCATGCCACCTTGCTTGGCTAATTCTTTTATTTTTTGTAGAATTGGGGATCTTGCTATATCAGCCTAGGGTGTTCTCAAACTCCCGGTCTCAAGCTATTCTTCTGCCTTGTCCTCCCAAAGTACTGGGATTACAGGTGTGAGCCCCCATGCCTGGTCTATATTGTCAGATATCTTTACATGTCCATAAATATACTTCTACCTTATTTACAATGTCTGCGTGGTATTTTGGTTTCCAGTTATAGGATTTAGAAAGGAAGTTATCTGAGTTGTAGTAGATTCCACAGATTTGAAGTATTAGAAGTCAACAGGAAAAGCAAAGATTATAGCCAAAATTTTCAAAACTGGATTTCCTTGTAAACAATGGATACAGTAGCTGTGGATGGGTTAGTATATATAGGTATTTACAGATAAATTTCAGTTGTATTGATTAAAGAATTGATTTCTTCTTTTGCCTAAAGTTAATAATGTTTTAGTGTAAAAGTCTTTAATAATTTCCCTTTTCACTTCAAATAGATGTTTAATGGTTTTGATGTTTCAGATTCGTTATATTTCACAAACACAAGGCTTGCCAGCTGAATATCTTCTCAGTGCCGGAACAAAAACAACCAGGTTTTTCAACAGAGATCCTAATTTGGGGTACCCACTGTGGAGGCTTAAGGTCTGTCTTCCCTACTATGCTTACGATTCCTGTACTCCACCCCTCATTCCCCAACTTTGAATTCAAAGTTTATTAAATTCTTCAGGTAGTGGAGGGACAGGAGAGGGGGAAACATTTTGAAAAATTATTTCTTTGTACCTGTTTGGCCTTATCCTCGGTTGAAAAACAAAACATTAAGTGCTAGTTCAGTTGGCTGAGGTTATTTTGTATGTGTTCAATCCGCAGCTGATAGAAAGTTTGGAGAGTAGTGCTCACCATTAAGTGATAGAACTAGAGACATTTAGTAATGACTGATTTTTAGAGAATTCTCAATGAACGTGATAAAATCACATAATTTTCTAACTGCCCGCATTCAAGACTTCTGTATTTTTTCTTGAAACAAATACCTGCTTTTTACTTCTGAGCCTGCTCTGTCAGGTTCAGAAATATCTGAGTAATTTGACTAACTCTGTGACTGTGCCTCTAATCCTGTTGAACAGTTAGCGTTTGAGATATCAATTCATTTCAAAGTAGCTTTAAGAGAACAATGGTAGGGTCCCTTTTTACCTGACATTCTTCAGGAACTGTGCTGTATCATTACTTGCATGTTTATTTTATCACTGTTGAAAGGGTAGCTAGATATCAAGGTCACATCTGTCCACTGGAAGATTTTCTGGTTGTGAATTACTTTCATGTTTTCCATCTATGGTTGGCAGGGTGACCACACTTGTCTCTTGTATTCTGGCTTTAGTTTTGAATAAAATGTGAAAATAACATACAGATGGAATTTAAGGAGGAGAATCTTTATTTTATAGACACCTGAAGAACATGAACTGGAGACTGGAATAAAATCAAAAGAAGCCCGGAAGTACATTTTTAATTGCTTAGATGACATGGCTCAGGTGAGTGCAGAAAGTTTCAGAAAGTCAGACATTTATTTTTAAGCAGAGACACACTTCTCTTGATTATACTGAAGACAAATTTAATGTTATCTTTCTAGTATTTGTTTTCAGTTTTTATAAAAAATGCATTAATATTCTGCCATGTATTAAAGGAACATTTAAATCCTAACCAAGTATATTTTTAGAATTACATATTTCTTGCTTTGCTTAACTGGTCTTGTTACATAGCAGTGTTTTAAAATATTATTGAAAGTTTCTTGTCCCATTTTCTCAAATACTTAAGAGCTATATTTATTGAGCACTTATTATGTTACAAACTCTGAACTCTTCACACTTACTTAATTTTTTCAACAGTAGAAACTTTTATATTTAGGTAGTAACAATCACTATTGCTTAACTACTTGTTCCATTTTTTTTTTTTTTTTTTTTTTTTTGAGACAGAGTCTCATTCTGTTGCCCAGGCTGGAGTGCAGTGGCATAATCTCAGCTCACTGCAACCTCTGCCTCCCGGGTTCAAGCGATTCTCCTGCCTCAGCCTCCCAAGTCCATGCCCAGCTCATTTTTGTATTTTTTTAGTAGAGACGGGGTTTCGTCACGTTGGCCAGACTGGGCCTCAAACTCCTGACCTCAGGTGATCCACCTGCCTTGGCTTCCCAAAGTGCTGGGATTACAGGCATGAGCCACCATGCCCAGCCCCCAAATTTTTAATGACAAGAAATTGTTTAGCTTTCTTTTACCACTAAATTTAGATGAAGATTTTAATTAAGCAGCATAAAAAGAGCTTCCTCCTGTGAAAATGATTACACTTTCATAAAAAGAATTTCCCCAGGTTTCTCTTTTGATCATAGTTTGGAGGGAAACACACACATAGTTTGGAGGGAAAGCAGCTATGTAGTGTCAGTGCTAAAGGTTAAGTGAAGAAGTATAATTCTGAATTTTCTTTGGAAGGTGAATATGTCCACAGACCTAGAGGGAACAGATATGTTGGCAGAGAAGGCAGACCGAAGAGAATACATTGATCTTTTAAAGAAAATGCTCACAATTGATGCAGATAAGAGAATTACCCCTCTAAAAACTCTTAACCATCAGTTTGTGACAATGACTCACCTTTTGGATTTTCCACATAGCAATCAGTGAGTATGGAATATTCTGGGGCTTTTTCCATGTGGTTCTTTGTTGAGTGACTGCCTTAATAATAGCACTATCAAATGAGCCAGCCACTTTGGTGCTTATAAATCTGGCTCAGCAGTGCTTTTCTTTCTCATTGAAACTTCATAAGATAAAAATTAGATGTGTATTTTTCTTCCCTATGATTACACAGATTCTTGATTTATTTTATCTGAAAGTGATTGGGGAAAAAAAACTTTGATCCATGTTCATCTTGAGTTATTTGCTGTTTGAATCTCAGCATTCATTTAATGAATCTTTAATCTCTTTTTCAGTGTTAAGTCTTGTTTTCAGAACATGGAGATCTGCAAGCGGAGGGTTCACATGTATGATACAGTGAGTCAGATCAAGAGTCCTTTCACTACACATGTTGCTCCAAATACAAGCACAAATCTAACCATGAGCTTCAGCAATCAGCTCAATACAGTGCACAATCAGGTATTCAGTAAATAATTTTGGAAACTCAAGCTTAAATGGGATAGAAACTAGTAAAAATACAGGGCAAGGTAAAGAACCAATTTTTGTTTTGGTGGTCTTGTTGCTTCTTAGAAATTCTCTACTTGACAAAAGTTGATGGAAAACAGGGTAGACTGATAATACGTACCAGGCACAGGCTAACTAAAGTTAAATATAAAGGCCTAATCCATGCCCTCATATGTTCAGCATCATCAAACAAATGGAGTCTGACTATTGTACTACTTACCGCTGTTGGTTGTACTAACTTTAGCCAAATGACTTTCTCCCTGTTAGGAGAAGGATTTTATATCTCTTGTTACTGTATTGAAAGGTTTCCAATCATTAACTTTAAGGGTGGTTTTGCATTTGTTTGCTGGCCAGTGATATTTACATTTAGGTTTGTTTCTGAAGATGTAAGCTTCCCAATTTCTTGACTGGGTGTCCTTTTTTAATGGAAGAGCCTATGAGATTTGGTGAGATCTTCCATCTGGCAATTTTTGTTTAGAAGTAGTTGGGGTTTGTGTAGCCACAGCCAGCATAGAACTATTCTTTTTTTTTATTTGCTTATTTGACCTTGTAATATGCCTTCGATTTAGGGACTGGGAAAGTTTATTAAGCAGAGAGTTATTTCAGAGGCAGCTAACATTACATTTTAAAACATTATTCTAAGTTTTTCTGGATAAATTCTCTATATGTAAAATTATTGTGTCTCTACTTAATACAAGTGTACAAATATAATCCTTTTGTTTTTAGGCCAGTGTTCTAGCTTCCAGTTCTACTGCAGCAGCTGCTACTCTTTCTCTGGCTAATTCAGATGTCTCACTACTAAACTACCAGTCAGCTTTGTACCCATCATCTGCTGCACCAGTTCCTGGAGTTGCCCAGCAGGGTGTTTCCTTGCAGCCTGGAACCACCCAGATTTGCACTCAGACAGATCCATTCCAACAGACATTTATAGTATGTCCACCTGCGTTTCAAAGTAAGTGGGGAAACTCCTGTATCATATGGTATTGTATCAGACCTTCCTGCTTCAGGCAACTCTAGTTGTTTAGTTCTGATCTTTACAAGTTTAAACTCTGTCTCTGATGATGAAGGTAACTAAAATTGGGTGATATCACAAAATGGGTTTTCCCTTTTTACATTGGCTATTTATCTAATTATGATGCTATCTGATGCATTATAACAGCTCAATTTATGTTTCCTTAATTGAATTGCCTCACACCAGTTTTCTTGCCCATTGAGTCCTTGTGTCAATGTCATATGTCTTGTATAAGCATGTATCTGTCAATATGCAAAATCTATACAACTTGAAAAAAATTCGTTGTAAGCAGAATTGCTAAATATTGGATCCTATTGCCTGTATCATTCTATTATAAAAATTATGTTCCCAATAAAAAGTGATTTTATTCTAAAATGTAAATACCATGTTTAAGAATGTGGAAATGTCTTAAATTACTTAAGGATAGAAAAATCATTATTTACTGAACTAAAAAATCCTACAGGCTGAGGTGCTTGTGTGGGGCAGGCATTAAGATTATCTTCTTCAGCTTATGAATCATACAGTTTCTGCAAACTCCTGTCAATAGAGGAACAGAATAGCTGAAGGAGGAGGCTGAGTCCCTGTGTTGCAATACGATTTTAATTTTCACATTCCCATCCTTCTTAATTTTGACATTGTTGTTCTGTAATCTAGTCTGTCCAGTTTCTTTTTTCTGTATATGGGAAATGTGTGTTTAATCATTTGGTAAGCCATTTAGAAGAATGTTACTTTAAGGCTAAAATCCAATGACACATTTGACTTTCCCAAGAGAAGGTCAGTGTCAGTACCCTGTGAGAATAAACCAGGATTCAGGTGTCTCATGTAACACTTTACATAGAAGCAGGTAGCATTTTTGCCTTTTTACATCAATTACTTATTGACTATGACTCTCTTGTTTGTTTGGTTTCTGACAGAGTTGGAGCAAGCAGAAGGAAAAGAGGGGCTAGGGAAGTCTGAGAGATTACCAGGAGAACAGGAGAGCAATAGCGATGTAAACCAGGGAGAAACCACAGGGAGAGCGGAGGAACAGATTCAAAATCCGTAAATGCACATTTAGCCTAACTTACCAAATTATTTTCTGCATATGCTTCATAATAGTAAATTCTGTAGTTGGGGTTGTCGTATGTTGAGTGATTCTTCCACTGAGCTTAGTAGATTAGCCACTTTTTTCACTACTTTTTCCAAAGAGTTTCATTGGAACAATTTTCAAATGTGGGACCCTGAAGTTTTCTGCTTCTTCTGAGATGATAAGAGATGAAGCAGAAGAACTTTTGAGTTCCTTTAACAAAACAAAATGTAAACTAAAGAAGTTAGAGGGGAAAAGTGGGATAACCCTTTTTACTATAATTAGGTAGGTATAACTTTTGACATTTTTCCTATCTAGGAAGTATAAATAACCTGAGGAGCTAGTAGAGCGTATTTAAAATTTTCAAATGAAGAGGAAGTTTTAAAATTAAGGTGATGATGATGATGCCTGATATGTATTATTATATGCCAGATAATGTTCTAATTGCTTTTACATGTATTAATTTATCTTCACTAACAATTCTAGGAGGTAGGGTAATGTCATTATCTCCAATTTATAGATGAGAATTTTGAGCATGGTTCCTTCATGTGCCCAAAGTCCTATAACTAATAATTGCAGAACCATGATTTGAACCCAGACAGGGAAGTTCATAGCTTCTGTATTTTGAAGTGTTATTCCTCATTGCCCCTCAGTTCCCAACCACCACTATTTGCTCATTTCTGTGCAGCAATGGTCTATTCCAGGTTGCCCACTTTTCTTGGACCATCTGTTTTTTTACAAGATGCCTATACTTACAGGAGGATAGATCCTCATCAGTTAGGCAGTTTATTCTTTCCATACTTCACTGGTTCTTTATTTAAAGGACTATGTTCAATAAAACAAAATAATAACAAAAAATGAAACTATAATCCTTTTTAGGTCAGGAGCCAGGGAGAACCTTCCAACAGTGTTGCCTTTTGTTAAATTCTTTGTTCCCACTTTTGGGCTCAGCCTAAAGTACAATAGCAGTCTAATACATTAGAGTCACATTTGTAGGTCAGTACTATAAATACTACTTTCTATACTATCCTGGTTGGCCAAAATAGATACACATTTTGCTTAGTAGTAACTATTATTCTATAATTTTGTCACTTTTGCTTTATCACCTTGGGGGCCATAGATGAACTTCTGAAGTAAACATTTCCTCCTAAATTTTACCAATTTGTAGGAGGCTATTATTATACAATACCAATGTCTTGTAGTTAGGCATGTATCCATGTCCTACTTTAGGCAAGAATTTTGTGTGGCTTAGCCTTATTAGATAACATTGCCTAATGAAGCATGGCTGGCAACTTTTTAATCTTGATATATGAATTTGTTACTTTTTATTTTTGTACAAGTAGAACTTAAAAGGATATTGTTAGTGTTTTAATTCCGATTTTACTATGCCCTCTTATTTTGTACATTGCTGGATTGTATTTTTCTTCATGACAGCCTGTTATTAAATTACTCATAAATTACTGAAGTGGAAAATTAGAAGACTGACTTGCTGAAAACAGCAGTATTAGGTCTATGAGTTATGCTTATTTGATACCTCCATAGCAATATTAAGAGAAATTAGTTGGTGATAGTTGAGAAAATGTCACTGAAGGAGTCTTTAATTAAAATCTTTATATCCTTACTTAACAAAATTGCAGATATTAGTGAGTTGGAAGTATAATAGAAACTTAAATTCTTTATATTGCAAGTTTTGATAAAGTATAGAAGCAACTGAAGACTCTCAAGTCTTGGCAAAAAGAATTGTCTTTAGTTGTGCTTTTCCCCAGAAGGAGATCTGTTTGTAGGAAAGATTTATTCAACATTTGTTCTAAGAGCATAATGAATAAAAAAGAAGACATGATCATTGTTATAAAGGCACTGTCACAAAGAAGAATTCTTGATTTTCTTAGCTGTCCATTAACTACAAAAGAGCCCTATTAGATGTCAATGACAAGAGTAGATTTCTAAAATAAGTAGAAGAAAGTTTCTATAAACCAGAATGTCTGCTTTTAAAATATTCTTATCCTAGGCATAATTTTTTCAGTTCATGCCTGGTTAAGAATAAAATATATGTCTGATTTATGGACTAGGTTATATTTTTTGAGGAATGGGGAAAAATGTAAATAAAAAGGTAACTTAGATTATAAATTATTGAGCTTTTCATAATATTTTCTAATTCTCTAAAAGTTATATTTAAGCCTTTGCTTTTAAAGATTAGAGTTTTAAAATCAAGTTTTTTTCCCCCTAGTGGATTAAAAAGTGAATAATGCTGGGCGCAGTGGCTGACACCTGTAATCCCAGCACTTTGGGAGGCCAAGGTGGGCAGATCACGAGGTCAAGAGTTCGAGACCAGCCTGGCCAACATGGTGAAACCCTGTCTCTACTAAAAATACAAAAATTAGACGGGCGTGGTGGCACACGCCTGTAGTCCCAGCTACTTGGGAGGCTGTGGCAGAAGAATCGCTTGAACCTGGGAGGCAGAGGTTGCAGTGAGCCCAGATCGCGCCTCTGCACTTCAGCCTGGGTGACAGAGCGAGACTCTGCCTCAAAAAAAACAAAAAAACAAAAAGAAAAAGTGAATGTAGTTTACTAAGTGAAGGCTTGTTTTTGCCTGTACTGTTAATGGAGATGGGATGAATATTGTGTTTTAAATTTTGTAGCATAAAAAAAATTTAGAATTCCTTTAAGCCAACCCTCGCTATATCAAACATCTTTCTATTAAAAAACTGAGGGGAACAGTCTCCCTTTTCTTAACTTTCAAGACTTCTGTGAATGAAACTTCTTTATTTTAAGTGTCTAGGACTAAAATCTGAATAGTGGATTATTTGAACAGAAAAGCTGAAAACAAAATAATGTAAAACAGTACTCCCAGACCCAGCAAAACTATTTCACTGTGATGCTGTTTTCAACAGCTGGACTACAAGCAACAGCAAAGCATTCTGGATTCCCTGTGAGGATGGATAATGCTGTACCAATTGTACCCCAGGCACCAGCTGCTCAGCCACTACAGATTCAGTCAGGAGTTCTTACGCAGGTAAAAGCTAGAGCAATGTGGATACTCAGTATTGCTAAACACTGTTGAGATTCAGATATTTTGTCCTAGAAAATGGTATTTCGTTTGACTCTAAGATCTTTCTTGGTCATGATTCAGTGGACTTAAAATGAAACATCTCTATGGAACAATATACTCATTCCTAACACTATTGCAAGTGTGCCATCGTCTTCCCTAGACTTGCAGGGAAAAATATCCAGACATTCTTGAGAAATGGTCTTCTGAGTAAGTTTAGTTTAATTTTGCGGGATGAAGTGTTTTTTTTTTTGTTGTTGTTTTTTAAATGTTGGAGCTCCTATAAAGATAAGTATATATGCAGCATTTTGATTCTAAAATATAAGGTTCCACTTTTGCACCCTTTGTGTCCCTTTTGCTCACTCTTAGAATATCACAGTTGAGAGGCTGGATCACATCAGGATGCCCCTTCGCGTATTACATTCCTTCATTCTTTGTGTTTAACCAGACTGTAGAAAGCTTTAAAACTTTATACTTGCTATGGAACATTCGACTAAGATGATAGAGAAAATAGTGAAGTATTTAAATAGCAACAAACAGTATATTTTATATTTTATATATAAATGTTTGTGGCCTATGACACATAGGAAATTCTCAAATCCAAAAACCCTATTTTGTGAACAGGAGGAAGAATTCTTAATAAATGTCTTTGTTTCATAGAACTGATGCCCTGAATCTAGCCCAAGGAGGATTCCTATATTTCTTTGTTTTAGGCCATTGGCATTTGACTTTGTGGGCCAGTGCTGTACAAAGTTGAAGGGGGAAAGTCGTGTTTGGTATATGCATTTTAGGTGCTATCAAATTACTGTTCATTGTCAGTAATAACTTGGGGGGAATGAGAACCCTTCTGAATCCAGATGTCCTGCCTCCGTGTTTGTTTCACTCACCTGCCTAATCTACGTTTCAGGGAAGCTGTACACCACTAATGGTAGCAACTCTCCACCCTCAAGTAGCCACCATCACACCGCAGTATGCGGTGCCCTTTACTCTGAGCTGCGCAGCCGGCCGGCCGGCGCTGGTTGAACAGACTGCTGCTGTACTGGTAATTCCCCTCACTTGATTGTGTTACTAACGGAGTTTCTTTGGTTTCTTTCTTTTTTGTTTTTTCCTGTTTGTTTTTGTTCTGTTTTTTTCTGGTTTTTTTTCAAAAAAAATTTTTAGCTTAGTCTTTGCAGAGGGCATGGAAGCATGTGCCATCTTGTGGCTGTGTTCTTGCTACATCTTTTAATGTCTCATTGTTTTCCTCCCCAACATTTGCTGTAGCACTGTCTGACTGATGGTTATATGGCTCTGTAAGGAGCCAGATCCCTTGATTCTTCTTTGCCAGCCTAGTGTGATAAAAGCTCTCAATATAGCCTCAGAAGAGCTTCAACACTGTTACTTGTTTTCTGCCTTATCTTTTACCCTCTGACCCTTGAGCATGAAGGAAGTGGCCTTTAATTTGGCTCAGCTACAGGTACCCGGATGGCCAAAATTGAACTCCTTGGCAAGGTAGCTTTCTCCTTTTTTTGCTGTTTTAAGGTTCTAAAACTTTTCTGCACGTGGAAATGCTTAAGATGCTCTTAATTTATTATCAGTTGATATTAACCATCTTTCTATGGGCACATGAAGATAGCTCTTTTTGCCACTCATGATCAGTGGCAGCTTATATCTTACATTTAAAGATATTCCCTTTAGAATGTAGATCATATTGGAGGTCATATTGTTGGTTGAAATTAAAAGTGAACACATTTTTAGGAGTTTTGGGAGGAATTAATTATTTTACAAATAGGTCTTTATACAAAGGTTGAAAGTATGGCTAACAAACTATGCAAATACATATGCAAATACAATATCTTTGTAATTAAAAGTCACGGGGAATAGTTACTTAATATAGCTGCAGTTGTAGTATTGGGCTTAGAGATAGAAAAAACAAACAAGACTTTGAGGTGTGTTTCAGGATTTGTAACCTTAAGAGTGATTTTTTGGATGTGTTTTGGTTTATTTGGGGAGTTAGAATTATTTATTGGATATTCAGCATTTTATCATTTGACATTTAAAATTAGGTAAGCATCCAAAAACCTGAAAGGCACTATTGAATCCTGTTATTTCTCTGTTTTCAAAGTTGCTTTAAATTTCTTTTGTTGTTTCTTAAGTATTCATGTGAGTGAAAACACTTCCAGAAACATACTTTGGTTGGAATTTGGTTTTCAGTTTAAAAGTCTTTGTCACTTCCAGATTAATTTTCTTGTGAGCATAAAACCTGAGTGTGAGGGAGTCAGATATATTTCCAACTCGATTGATCGAAGCCGCTGGTTTTAACTCACTCATCTGTAGTTTCGAGGTTGGAATGCTAGTTGACACTTCTCCTTTGCTGCTTCTCTTAAGTTTGCACTAGCCATTTGCTAAGCTTTGCATATTTTTGTTCTTCCTCTGTCAAAACAGTTCGTCGCTTGGAACGCCAGATTTCTGCCTCACATTGGAATGTTATTTCTTGCTTTGTATTAAACTACATGCTTTGTCTTGTGCAGGTGTTGGCTTATGGAAAGACGCATGGTGTGACTTAACATACTTCTTTTATTTTTTGTTTTGTTTTGTTTTGTTTTAAATTCTGCTTATGGTAGCAGACGTGTTTGCAGTTTCTCTGCTTTGAAGGCTTCTTGTTTGGAACCAGTATTTGTAACAAGTGGATCTGTTACTTGCAGAAATATTTTTAAAACAGTGTGTTGATGGCCTTGCAATTTGAAATTCAAGAAACAGAACCATATGTACCCAGGCATTGTAGGTAATCGTACTGCAGAATTCAAGTTTAAAAAGGAAACTTCCAAATCTGTTTCCATTTTTTTTCAAAAAATGCCAGAATTTCTGTGAGGAAGAAGTACAGAAAACATTTGTTGCTCAGTTTATTGCAAGTGACATGGCTTTTTAAAAACTAGAAATCATGCTTTCTTGTAGTGATTAGTTTTTATGTGGAAATATTCCTGCAAATGATACATAAAAACATATTTTAGGTAACTATTAGAAACAAAGTATGGTGCTTTCTGCATCTATTTCACAAAGATCTTACTTTTAGCCTTATTTTGAAATTCTATTATGTGGCTATAAATGATGAGGTTAGCTTTTTCTTGCTGGCGTAAGATTTTTTTCCCAAAAGGATTAGGCCTTTGGTCATCCACATCTGGCTCCATTTTCCAAGTACTACCCTTTGAAAAAAAGGGAACAGCTCTGCCCTTTGTTTTATGGGTTGAATTGATCTGATATCTTATCTGATTGGCAGTCAGATTAAAAAATTTTTAATCTCCAGGGAGTCCTCTTAAGTCTTTCTACGGATATATTTTAGAATTGTTGCAAAAATAAAACTCCAGCATTTAACCAGCTCTTATCTCTGAACCTTCAGACTCCTTTTCTCTACAGTATAATAGAAGCTCTTAACCGCAGGGATCTTCTTTTCTTTAATACCAGGGTGGTCAGGTTATGGGGGTGGGTGAAAGAAAGCAGTATGTTTTCTTTCCCCATTCATAAGACTTGTAGCTTTGAGCCCCTCTGACTTTTCTTTTTTAATCTCTGCAAGTTAACAATCTACAAGCAACTTCTTTTAAGATATGAATTTTTCTTTCTTTAAAAAAACAGAAGAAAAAGCCAAGAATGAATCAAGTCTGGATGTTTTTTGTGTGTGTTTCCTTACAGCAGGCGTGGCCTGGAGGGACTCAGCAAATTCTCCTGCCTTCAACTTGGCAACAGTTGCCTGGGGTAGCTCTACACAACTCTGTCCAGCCCACAGCAATGATTCCAGAGGCCATGGGGAGTGGCCAGCAGCTAGCCGACTGGAGGCAAGTGTCCTGTGTTACTCTGGGAGATTTGTAAGGGCAGATCCCATAGGGTGGGAGCACTTGATAATAAGGAGAGACTAGTAAGAAAATAAGGAAAATTTGACTCTGTTGGAATCCTTTAAGAACCCATATCAGGCTAGGAGACGGTGTTATAAGAAAACTTTGAATATAGGAGAGCAATAGGTTCTTAAGAATCATTTCTTCCAGATTTTTTAAAGAGAGTCTTAAGTGATTAGAAACCATACAGTGAGATCCTAAAGCCTGATAATCTAGGTCCCCAACTTTATTTTTTATAATGAAAATCCTTTTTTCTTTTTTTTAATTTTTAATTTTTGTGGTTACATAGTAGGTATGTATGTTTATGGGGTACATGAGATATTTTGACACAGGCATGCAATGTGAAATAAGCACATCATGGAGAATGGGGTGTCCATCCCCTCAAGCGTTTATCCTTTGAGTTACAAACAATCCAGTTACATTCTTTAAGTCATTTTAAAATGTACAATTAAGTTATTACTGACTGTAGTCACCTATTGTGTTATTAAATAATAGGTCTTATTCTTTTTTTGTGTGTGTGTGCCCATTAACCATCCCTACCTCCTCACTAACCCTCCACTACTCTTACCAGCCTCTGGTAACCATCCTACTCTCTATGTCCATGAATTAAATTGTTTTGATTTTTAGATCCCATAAATAAGTGAGAACATGTGGTTTGTCTTTCTGTGTCTGGTTTATTTCACTTAACATAATGAACTTGAGTTCCATCCATGTTGCTGCAAATGACAGGATCTCATTCTTTTTGTGGCTGAATAGTACTCCATTGTGTATATGTACCACATTTTCTTTATCCATTCATCTGTTGATGGACACTTAGGCTTCTTCCAGATCTTACTGTGAACAGTGCTGCAACATAGGAGTGCAGCTATCTCTTTGATATACTTATTTCCTTTCTTTTGGGTATATACCCAGCAGTGGGATTGCTGGATCGTATGGTAGCTTAATTTTTAGTTTTTACAGGAGCCTCCAAACTGTTCTCCATAATAGTTGTACTAACTTACATTCCTACTGTGTACAGTTGTTCCCTTTTCTCCATATCCTTGGCAGCGTTTATAATTGCTTGTCTTTTGGATATAAGCCATTTTAACTGGGGTGAGATAATATCTTATTGCAGTTTTGATCTGCATTTCTCTAATGATCAGAGATGTTGAGCACCTTTTCATATGCCTGTTTGTCATTTGTAAGTTATCTTATGGAAAATGTCTATTCAAATATTTTGCCCATTTTTTGATCGTATTATTAGATTTTTTTTCCATAGAGTTGTTTGAGCTGCTTACATATTCTGGTTATTAATCCCTTATCAGATGGTAGGTACTCAACTTTAAAAAAATAAAATGCAGCTGCATTTTGGCTAATTGCTTTTGATGTCTGTTTGGTCCTGATTCTTCAGTGGTTTTGGAATTCACTCTTCTCTCTTTCTTTCTGTTGGTACAGGAATGCCCACTCTCATGGCAACCAGTACAGCACTATCATGCAGCAGCCATCCTTGCTGACTAACCATGTGACACTGGCCGCTGCTCAGCCTCTGAATGTTGGTGTTGCCCATGTTGTCAGACAACAGCAATCCAGTTCCCTCCCTTCGAAGAAGAATAAGCAGTCAGCTCCAGTCTCTTCCAAGTGAGTCTGTGTTACAGCTGATAGTTAAAACTGTGCCAATTTGAGAGATATGTTGCCTTGCATTTGGAATATTTTATAGACATATCATATAGATATGAAGCAGCAAGTAGCTGCCAAATTGAGAAAGAGCAAATCATTTCATCTGCACATGTACACCAGGTGTGTCCTGGTTATGATGGTCCTTTCTCTCTGCTGCCACTTTGAATCTGGGGCATTTTATGATGCTTTTATTTTACTTTACAGAGTGAAATTTAGTCCTAGGATAAAGGACTTATAAAAGTAAAATGTCTTGTATTTTGGTGTTCTTGTCCCTGAAACTCTTGCCAGCATGGTGCTTATTTTCATTGGAACTTGTATAGTTAAATGTATTTGCTTAATGATTATGTAAAAAGGAATCAACGAGTAAATTGGAAAGCAGTCTGGGGAAAAGATGTACAATTTGGAAGGCCAAGAACTGAATCATCTTTCCATGTGAACTTTTCCTACAGGTCCTCTCTAGATGTTCTGCCTTCCCAAGTCTATTCTCTGGTTGGGAGCAGTCCCCTCCGCACCACATCTTCTTATAATTCCTTAGTCCCTGTCCAAGATCAGCATCAGCCCATCATCATTCCAGATACTCCCAGCCCTCCTGTGAGTGTCATCACTATCCGAAGTGACACTGATGAGGAAGAGGACAACAAATACAAGCCCAGTAGGTAAGATAAGTGAATGGTTCCTGGCTCTGTTGGTCTTAGACTGTTGGCTTCAGGCAAGTGGGCCCAGTTTGGCCTGTGAAAGAAAGGACCAGCAGGGCACGGTGGCTCACGCCTGTAATCCCAGCACTTTGGGAGGTTGAGGCCAGAAGATCACCTGAGGTCAGGAGTTCAAGACCAGGCTGGCCAACATGGCAACACCCTATCTCTACTCAACATACAAAAATTAGCAGGGCATGGTAGCACATGTTTGTATCCCAGCTACTCGGGAGGCTGAGGCAGGAGAATCACTTGAACCCAGGAGGCAGAGGTTGCAGTGAGCTGAGATCGTGCCACTGTACTCCAGCCTGAGTGACAGAGCAAGACTGCATCCCCTTCCACCCCATCCCAAAAAAAGGGCCGAAGAAAAAGGTATTTTGGAAGCATAGCCTTCAGTTGGGGCTTTTGGTGTTGGGCATACAGAAGAGGGAATGACCTCTTGGTTTTACCTAAGAAGGTAGGATTCACACATGAAAGTAACTTAGGAGACTTTACAGAGTCATACATAAATGAAGTTTAAGTGAACTTGGAAGAGAAAATTTAGAATGAATTTAGAGCCTGTTAGTTCAAAAGGGCCAATTGTAAGATGGTAGAAGCAATATACAGGAAGTGTTAGAGGTGTGGACTCTGAAGTCATTCTGTCCTGGGTCTGAATCCTGTCTTCAGCACTCATCACTTCTTGTGTGACCCTGGGCAAGTTCCTCATCTCCATATTCCTTAGTTCCCTCATTTGCAAAATGGTGTTAATAGTACCTACTTCATAGGATTGTTGTAAGGATTCAGTGAGATGTATGTAGAGCATGAGAGTAGTGCTTGATACATAAGTACTCAGAAGTTAACTGCTGCTAATATTACCGTTATTATTACCATCTTTATCATCATTGTTATCATGGGAGAACCAGAGACAGATCATCTAAGAAACATTGCTTAAAAGGGCAATTGAAGCTCGGTATGGTGGCTCATGCCTGTAATCCTAGCACTTTGGGAGGCCAAAGCGGGAAATCACTTGAGCCCAGGAATTTGAGACCAGCCTGGGAAACATCATGAGATCTCATCACTACAAAAGATAAAAACAGTTGGGCATGGTGGTACACACCTGTAGTCCCAGCTACGTGGGAGGCTAAGGTGGGAGGATAGCTTGAGCCCAGGAGGTTGAGGTTGCAGCGAACTGTGATCACTCCACTGCACTCTAGCCTGGGTGACAGAACAAGACCCTGTCACACACACAAAAAAGAACAATTCAATTTTCATGTATTTTTCTTTTCCTCAGCTCTAGCCTGAAGCCAAGGTCTAATGTCATCAGTTATGTCACTGTCAATGATTCTCCAGACTCTGACTCTTCTTTGAGCAGCCCTTATTCCACTGATACCCTGAGTGCTCTCCGAGGCAATAGTGGACCCGTTTTGGAGGGGCCTGGCAGAGTTGTGGCAGATGGCACTGGCACCCGCACCATCATTGTGCCTCCACTGAAAACTCAGCTTGGTGACTGCACTGTAGCAACCCAGGCCTCAGGTAAGTGTATCTTCACAACTTGAGTTGAATTCTCCTTTGATGTGTGTATGCTTAAATATTTTGCCATAATCCACTTATGTTAGTGGTAGAGACCAGTGGTGTAGACATTCTTAAAGAGTCCTTAATTCAGAAATCAGTTCCCTGCACAATTGAAATTATTTTTGGCCATCACTTTATCTTCCTGTGTTTATTTTGCTTGGATTAATGCACAAATGAGATTGTAGTTTCAGAAACACATTCAGTGCTGATGGGAGAAAGCAGACAAGACCTGTGATATTGCCAGAAGTATTAGGCAATTAGGTTTGCCATAGATGATTTGAATTTGGCAATCAAGATGTAGACAGGACTTGATAATACTGAAAATGACTACAAAAGTGTTTTGGAAAACAGTTATATTCTTAAGGTTTTTTTTCTCACCCAGTGTCATAGCAGTGATGATTTTGTTGGTTTTATTACCAACCCAATTACTTCCATCTTCTTTGCTCTGATAGATACTGGACTTAGGCTCCCTGGTTCAGTTATTGTGTTAGTTGGGTAATAGCTGCAGTAACAAATCCTAGATTTTTGTAGCATAACATAGTAGAATTTTACTTCTCTCTCATATAACTTCTTGGTACAAGTGTTTGATTCCTGAGCATCCAGTCAGAAGGAGAAAGTTTGAAGGAGGCACACACATGTTTTAATCTCTTTAACCTGGAAATAAGTGGAAATAGTGAATACTTCTCACATGGCCCCACCTAGATGCAAGTGAGCCAGGCAATGTAGTCTTGTCAAGGTAGCTGCTTTTCCGTGACAACTTCATACCAAGAAAGGGGTTGGTGAAGTTTAGGTATCAACATAAACCTGGGCCATACCTGTAAAAATTATGTTTTATTGTGTATTATCTTACTGCCGTAGACGTAAACAGGGTTATAATTTGAGGGTATTGTGTTACGCCTCTGTGTGATTCTTTTCAGAAGTAGACAGTTGTCCCATTGCAGACAAGGGAGAGAGCTTCCTGATGCCAGGCTACTGAACAGAATTATTAGGACCTCCATGCGCTCTTGGGTCCAGAGAATATAGGCTATCACATGAAACGCTGAATAGATGCTCTGGTTTTCCTAATGGGAACACAGAAGCAAGCAAAATTTCACATTCAGCTGTCCTGTAATTTCTTAGAATTTGAAGCCAGTTAAGTGCCCAAGATATAAGTTTGCCTTCTTTTAAACCCTCTTGACACTTTAATATCCTAAGAATTACCAATAACTTTCTCAGCTTCATATTGTCATTTCTGTGCTTGTTTAATCCCTTCCTACATAAAACTATAAACTCTTAGAGAGAGGGACGGTGTCTTAGCATATTTGTATTTCCAGTCCTTCCTTGTATATAACAATATTATATTATTGTATATAATCAATATTATAATATTTATAATATTGATTTAAGTGAACAAATCTCCTATGTGGAGATTTGTGCCAAAACAGAAAAGAAATGGGTGATACAGGTTATTTTCTTCTGGGGTAAATAGAATTGAGGAATTAAGACATACATGAGACCTTAACGCTTGCAAACTGCATACAAATATGGACTAATTAATATGATGCCATCTGAGGTTAGCTCAGTGATGTCTACTCATAACTATTAAGCCTGATGCTTTTTTAGGTCTCCTGAGCAATAAGACCAAGCCAGTAGCTTCAGTGAGTGGGCAGTCATCTGGATGCTGTATCACCCCCACAGGGTATCGAGCTCAACGCGGGGGGACCGGTGCAGCACAGCCACTCAACCTTAGCCAGGTAAGCGCTACGGGCTACTGCCTTCTCTTTGGGCCCTGCACTGTTGTTACTTTCTGGAGAACCCTGCTTCTGGCTGGATGCTGAATAAAGCCAAATGAAGCCCCTTTTGTGTCAAACAATTTTGTGTTCTATGGCTTACGTCGTACCGCATGTGCTGCATCTCATCATTCACTCTTTGTGTTTGGGATGTACATTCTAGGTTTTCCATCAAACCTCCCTAAGTCTACCATGGAAGGTTAGAGAAACGTCTGGGATTTAGAAAGAGCGTGGGAAGTTTAACCATGTCAGTGATAGGCGTATGCTTTGAGACCAGATTCTCTTTATCCCTCAGGCCATAAGTAAGCTGATCTTTACCTTGTTTACTTGAGTCAAGAGACTGAAAAGCTCACTGGCCACCAAATTCAACTGGTTCTAGGTCCTGCTTGTTGCTGAAGTCTGGGATTTGGGACTTCCCCACTCTCCGAACATCCCCTGCCCCAACCCACCCTTCTACTTCTCTCATTACTTTGTGTTCATTCTTAGAGGCTAAAATTCAAGTGCTTGTATGATGTCCACCAGTAGTGAGAAAGTTCAATATGAGAGAGTGTGTGAGAGCACATGCAAGTGAAAATGTAAGTTTGAGTTAGTGTATGTGTTTTAGGCTCCACATTTCAAGAGGGGTATGAAGAACTTAGAGGAGAAGAACAAAAGAAAGCAATGGTAAGAAATAAAGGTTAGGAAAAATTCAAATTTACTGATGCCAGAATAGGGTGAGTTGAGTCACCAGTTATTAAATTGCAGGAGTGGGGAACCCTGTGATCTCTTGATTCTCCCTCTTCCTGTCATACTTACAAGCAAACTGCTGTTACCTGAGCCAGGTTAGGATCTATCTTGCTAAGAGGCAGAGGGAGGGGTGGCTGATTTCTGACAGCATTCAATGCCAGTCTGGGAGATTATGTGCTATACCCATTCGGAAACAGTACAAGTCAGGACCTGAGCTCTTAACTTGGCCTTTCGTGCCCTGAACCAGAGTGACCTCAAGATTCCTCACTTCCTTCTTTCTTCCAGAACCAGCAGTCATCGGCGGCTCCAACCTCGCAGGAGAGAAGCAGCAACCCAGCCCCCCGCAGGCAGCAGGCGTTTGTGGCCCCTCTCTCCCAAGCCCCCTACACCTTCCAGCATGGCAGCCCACTACACTCGACGGGGCACCCACACCTTGCCCCAGCCCCTGCTCACCTGCCAAGCCAGGCTCATCTGTATACGTATGCTGCCCCCACTTCTGCTGCTGCACTGGGCTCAACCAGCTCCATTGCTCATCTTTTCTCCCCACAGGGTTCCTCAAGGCATGCTGCAGCCTATACCACTCACCCTAGCACTTTGGTGCACCAGGTCCCTGTCAGTGTTGGGCCCAGCCTCCTCACTTCTGCCAGCGTGGCCCCTGCTCAGTACCAACACCAGTTTGCCACTCAGTCGTACATTGGGTCTTCCCGAGGCTCAGCAATTTACACTGGATACCCGCTGAGTCCTACCAAGATCAGCCAGTATTCCTACTTATAGTTGGTGAGCATGAGGGAGGAGGAGTCATGGCTACCTTCTCCTGGCCCTGGGTTCTTAATATTGGGCTATGGTGAGATCCTCCTTTACCCTCTTGAAACTTCTTAGCCAGCAACTTGTTCTGCAGGGGCCCACTGAAGCAGAAAGTTTTTCTCTGGGGGAACCTGTCTCAGTGTTGACTGCATTGTTGTAGTCTCCCAAAGTTTGCCCTATTTTTAAATTCTTTATTTTTGTGACAGCAATTTTGGTACTTGGAAGAGTTCAGATGCCCATCTTCTGCAGTTACCAAGGAAGAGAGATTGTTGTGAAGTTACCCTCTGAAAAATATTTTGTCTCTCTGACTTGATTTCTATAAATGCTTTTAAAAACAAGTGAAGCCCCTCTTTATTTCATTTTGTGTTATTGTGATTGCTGGTCAGGAAAAATGCTGATAGAAGGAGTTGAAATCTGATGACAAGAAAAGAAAAATCATTACTTTTTGTTTGTTTATAAACTCAGACTTACTTGCCTATTTTATTTTAAAAGCAGCTTACACAAGTCTGTATTTTTACTATCAGGCGTTTCTCCTCAAAATCTCATCTTTGTTTATTGGACATTTAAACTTACAGAGTTTCAGTTTTGTTTTAATGTCATATTACACTTAATGGGTAATTGTTATTTTTGCAAAACTGGTTACGTATTACTCTATGTTACTATTGGGATTCTCTCAATTGCTCCTGTGTGTGTTATAAAGTAGTGTTTAAAAGGCAGCTCACCATTTGCTGGTAACTTAATGTGAGAGAATCCATATCTATGTGAAAACACCAAGTATTCTTTTTAAATGAAGCACCATGAATTCTTTTTTAAATTATTTTTTAAAAGTCTTTCTCTCTCTGATTCAGCTTAAATTTTTTTATTGTAAAAGCCATTAAGGTGGTTATTATTATACGGTGGTGGTTGTTTTATTATATGCAAAATCTCTGTCTATTATGAGATACTGGCATTGATGAGCTTTGCCTAAAGATTAGTATGAATTTTCAATATTACACCTCTGTGTTTTGCTCATCTCTCCCTTCTGTTTTATGTGATTTGTTTGGGGAGAAAGCTAAAAAAACCTGAAACCAGATAAGAACATTTCTTGTGTATAGCTTTTATACTTTAAAGTAGCTTCCTTTGTATGCCAGCAGCAAATTGAATGCTCTCTTATTAAGACTTATACAATAAGTGCATGTAGGAATTGCAAAAAATATTTTAAAAATTTATTACTGAATTTAAAAATATTTTAGAAGTTTTGTAATGGTGGTGTTTTAATATTTTACATAATTAAATATGTACATATTGATTAGAAAAATATAACAAGCAATTTTTCCTGCTAACCCAAAATGTTATTTGTAATCAAATGTGTAGTGATTACACTTGAATTGTGTACTTAGTGTGTATGTGATCCTCCAGTGTTATCCGGGAGATGGATTGATGTCCCCGTTGTATTTAAACCAAAATGAACTGATACTTGTTGGAATGTATGTGAACTAATTGCAATTATATTAGAGCATATTACTGTAGTGCTGAATGAGCAGGGGCATTGCCTGCAAGGAGAGGAGACCCTTGGAATTGTTTTGCACAGGTGTGTCTGGTGAGGAGTTTTTCAGTGTGTGTCTCTTCCTTCCCTTTCTCCCTCCTTCCCTTATTGTAGTGCCTTATATGATAATGTAGTGGTTAATAGAGTTTACAGTGAGCTTGCCTTAGGATGGACCAGCAAGCCCCCGGGGACCCTAAGTTGTTCACGGGATTTATCAGAACAGGATTAGTAGCTGTGTTGTGTAAATGCATCGTTCTCAGTTTCCCTGCCAACATTGAAAAATAAAAACTGCAGCTTTTCTCCTTTACCACCACCTCTACCCCTTTCCATTTTGGATTCTCAGCTGAGTTCTCACAGAAGCATTTTCCCCATGTGGCTCTCTCACTGTGCATTGCTACCTTGCTTCTGTGAGAATTCAGGAAGCAGGTGAGAGGAGTCAAGCCAATATTAAATATGCATTCTTTTAAAGTATGTGCAATCACTTTTAGAATGAATTTTTTTTCCTTTTCCCATGTGGCAGTCCTTCCTGCAAATAGTTGACATTCCTAGTAAAATATTTGCTTGTTGAAAAAACATATAACAGATGAGTTTATACCAAAGAGCCTATTGTATTGCTTACCATGTCCCCACACTATGAGGAGGAGTTTTGTGGTGCCGCTGGTGACAAGGAGCTCACAGAAAGGTTTCTTAGCTGGTGAAGAATATAGAGAAGGAACCAAAGCCTGTTGAGTCATTGAGGCTTTTGAGGTTTCTTTTTTAACAGCTTGTAGAGTCTTGGGGCCCTTCAAGCTGTGAAATTGTCCTGGTACTCTCAGCTCCTGCACGGATCTGGGTCAAGTAGAAGGTACTGGGGATGGGGACATTCCTGCCCATAAAGGATTTGGGGAAAGAAGGTTAATCCTAAAATACAGGTGTGTTCCATCTGAATTGAAAATGATATATTTGAGATATAATTTTAGGACTGGTTCTGTGTAGATAGAGATGGTGTCAAGGAGGTGCAGGATGGAGATGGGAGATTTCATAGAGCCTGGTCAGCCAGCTCTGTACCAGGTTGAACACCGAGGAGCTGTCAAAAGTATTTGGAGTTTCTTCATTGTAAGGAGTAAGGGCTTCCAAGATGGGGCAGGTAGTCAGTACAGCCTACCAGGAACATGTTGTGTTTTCTTTATTTTTAAAAATCATTATATTGAGTTGTGTTTTCAGCACTATATTGGTCAAGATAGCCAAGCAGTTTGTATAATTTCTGTCACTAGTGTCATACAGTTTTCTGGTCAACATGTGTGATCTTTGTGTCTCCTTTTTGCCAAGCACATTCTGATTTTCTTGTTGGAACACAGGTCTGGTTTCTAAAGGACAAATTTTTTTGTTCCTTGTCTTTTTTCTATAAGGGACAAGATTTGTTGTTTTTGTAAGAAATGAGATGCAGGAAACAAAACCAAACCACATTCCTGCCCCCACACCAATAAGCAGATACCACTTAAGATAGGAGTCTAAACTCCACAGAAAAGGATAATACCAAGAGCTTGTATTGTTACGTTAATCACTTGACTAGCAGTGTGTGGCTTTAAAAACTTCATAGAGATTTTTCAGTCTTCGTCTGCAAACTGGCATTTCCGATTTTCCAACATAAAAATCCACCTGTGTCTGCTGAATGTGTATGTATGTGCTCAATGTGGCTTTAGATTCTGTCCCTGGGGCTTAACATTGTTGGCCCTGACAGGAAGGGAGGAAGCCCGGTGAATTTAGTGAGCAGCTGGCCTGGGTCACAGTGACCTGACCTCAAACCAGCTTAAGGCTTTAAGTCCTCTCTCCGAACTTGCATTTCCAGCTTCTTCCTTTCCAGGTGAGAGAAGAAGCGGGGAAGGGTTCAGTGTAGCCACTCTGGGTTCATAGGGACACTTGGTCACTCCAGAGTTTTTAATAGCTCCCAGGAGGTGATACTATTTTCAGTGCTCAGCTGAAATACCAACCCCAGGAATAAGAACTCCGTTTCAAACAGTTCTGGCCATTCTGAGCCTGCTTTTGTGATTGCTCATCCATTGTCCTCCACTAGAGGGGCTAAGCTTGACTGCCCTTGGCCAGGCAAGCACAGTAATGTGTGTTTTATTCAGCATTATTATGCAAAAATTCACTAGTTGAGATGGTTTGTTTTAGGATAGGAAATGAAATTGCCTCTCAGTGACAGGAGTGGCCCGAGCCTGCTTCCTATTTTAATTTTTTTTTTTTTAAACTGATAGATGGTGCAGCATGTCTACATGGTTGTTTGTTGCTAAACTTTATATAATGTGTGGTTTCAATTCAGCTTGAAAAATAATCTCACTACATGTAGCAGTACATTATATGTACATTATATGTAATGTTAGTATTTCTGCTTTGAATCCTTGATATTGCAATGGAATTCCTACTTTATTAAATGTATTTGATATGCTAGTTATTGTGTGTGATTTAAACTCTTTTTGCTTTCTCCCTTTTTTTGGTTGTGCGCTTTCTTTTACAACAAGCCTCTAGAAACAGATAGTTTCTGAGAATTACTGAGCTATGTTTGTAATGCAGATGTACTTAGGGAGTATGTAAAATAATCATTTTAACAAAAGAAATAGATATTTAAAATTTAATACTAACTATGGGAAAAGGGTCCATTGTGTAAAACATAGTTTATCTTTGGATTCAATGTTTGTCTTTGGTTTTACAAAGTAGCTTGTATTTTCAGTATTTTCTACATAATATGGTAAAATGTAGAGCAATTGTAATGCATCAATAAAATGGGTAAATTTTCTGAATCGTGGCTGTTTTTGACTTCTGTTATAGGATATAAAGGGGATCAATAAATGACGTCTTTGAAAGTGGCTAAGCATATTATATTTGAACATCAGTAGAGTACTAGAGACAATTTCATTCTTCATACAAATCTCCATACTGGAAATGAATAGGGTTTGGCAGGGAATACTTCCCAAGAATGCAGTGTCCAGGGCCCTTACTTCACATCATCTGGATCTGACACTTTGAAAGGGGTAGAAGACATCTGAGACAGGCTAATTAAGCTTTGTTTCCTAGTGTATTTTGCCAAATAGCAGTAGCAGAATGAAAAGATGAGTCACCACAGGAAGCTGCTATTTTTCCCCTCCTTTCAAGCTGTACCGTTAAGAGTCATGGTCCTTTTTAGAGAAGGAACCTCTCTGTCAGATTCTCTTGATTCTAAAGTGAGTAGAATTTCTCCCGATAAAGAAATAGGGGGTTGTTTGGATTAACGACTGCAGGTCTCTGAGTAAATGCTCTCTTTGATTTTTCTTTTTTTTTTTGACCTGTGTGTCAGGCCATGTCTACCTTATGGTGGCCATTAATTCATTTCGGATGCTCCTGCAGCTTTAGTTGGGGTATAGAAATGAGAAACACTCAGAAATACCCTTTTGGACCACAACTGAGAGAAATAACCAACAGTCTTTTCTCCCAGTAGTAAGGGGGTCAGAATACACTGATTTAGACTGCAACAACATACATATATGTATATGTATTTCAGATTCCGCCCCCCCCCCCGCAATAAATGAATGTATAGTAAATTAATGTGAACTCATTGAACACTCCTCAGTTTTGGTGAGAGAATATACCCGGCCTCTTTCAAGCAAAGGAAAGCCATGAAAAACAGCGCTGCTGTCAGCCTTACTTCCAGACAATCAAGAGTTAATTTACTAACTTCTCAGTGACCTCTTTTTTTTTTTTTTTTAATCTCAGTTATATTTTCTTCTTGGGCTAAATCAGAGAGAGATTTGCATAGCCAATCCAAGCCTATCCAAAGTAGTAATTGGATAGTCTTGGGGGAAATCTGCATTTTAGTGGTGAAAACCCCTGTAAATTCAATATATTTGGCTTTTGTGGAAAATTTTCCTCGTGGGATGAGTCTA